GGTGGGTGTTGTTTGACTCTGGGATAGGGCATGGGCCCAGCTGCATAGAAGGGCGTGCCTTCCCATGGTTTTCTCTTGGTTCTTTTAGGGCATTTGCTTTGTACTCAAGATTAGCTTTTAATTTTTATTCATACGAAGTGCCAAAGATGGCCCAGATTGCACTCATTATGGGCTACTGTGTCTCTTGTCAGTTGTTTACAAGAGAGGTTCTGGCTTGGCTCTGCTGCTTTTAGGTCAAGTCATCTTAGGAAAAGTCAAGAGCCACAGAAATAGAACCTTAAAATGTTGACAAACATTACAATTGTTCACTTTATACCCACACAGTCTTTATTTTCCAACTTCTGTTAGTCAAAAACAAAAGGAGTAAGAGAGAAAATATTGGATCTTTAGAAATGCAGTTATCTATAAATAAAGCCAAGCTCTACTCTAACACTCTTATTCCATACAAACCAGATTATTTATTTATTTATTTATTTATTTGGTTATGGATAGAATCCAGGACCAAGTACTTTATCAGAGCTACACCTCCAAACTACAAATTATATTATGTTCTACAAACTTGGAAAGTACTTTATATCTGTATATAGCATATGAAAACATAGCCACACAAAAATGAATTAATGGAAGTTGTGACTATCAAGTACATATTCTATTATATAAGTGAAAAGAATATGTTAAGGGGGCTTGAGAGATGGCTCAGTGGTTAAGAGCACTGAATGTTCTTGCTGAGGACCTGGATTCAATTCCCAGTACCCACAAGGAGGCTAACAACCATTTGTAACTCCAGTTCCAGAGGATGCAATGCCCTTTTCTGACCTCTGCAGGCACTGCATGACATGGGTGCACTCACATACATGCAGGCAATACACTTATACACATAAAATAAAAAAGAATATCTTTTTAAAAAAGAGAACACATTAAGAACTTAATGGTGTCTGTGTATGTGTGTGTTCATGTGTGTGCGGGTGTGTGTGTATGCACATGTTCATGCATGTGGAGGCCAGATATATGCCGTGCAATGCCCACAGAGGCCAGAAGAGGCTGTTGGATCCCCTGAAACTGGAGTTACAAACAGTTGTTAGCTGCTATGTGGGTGCTGGGATTTGAACCTGGGTCTTCTGCAAGAACAGCTAGTGTTCTTAACAACTGAGCCATCTCTCCAGCCCATCCACCTTATTTTTTAAGACAGGTTTTCTCGGTTAACTTGGGACTCACCAATTCAGGTAGACCAGCTGATCAACAAGCCCCAGGGATCCTCCTGATTCACCTCCCCTGCCTTAAGATTACAGACACATGCTGCTGTGTCTGGGTTTTTCACATGAGTGTTGGGGATCCAAACTCTGGTTTTCATGCTTGCATTGAAGTATTTGACTGAGCCATATTTCCAGTTCCCTCATACTGCCTTTTAAATGATGGATTTCCAGTAAACATCTCAGGTAGTCTAAACAATGGCAGCATAGAGTAAATGAAGAGTCTCTCTGAGGGGAAAACCAAGAGAAGACCTAGAAGTAGATTTGTAGTTGTCAGGTACAGAGCAGAAGTATTGTTAGTAAGAGGAACCCTCTCATTGATGAGAGTGAGAAGATGAAGTGAAAGTCAGTGTGGTAGGAGAGGAAAGATCTGGCTCTTAGAATATGGCCATGAGTTCTGAGCACCGGAAACATGAAGGACGCATGAGCAATACCCAGCTCTGCATTTGGCCTCTGAGGAAACCACGAGACGGGCATGTGATAAACCAGGCTGCTCCTGTCTCACATTCTCCTCTTAGAATCTTGACACATTTGGTTTTTCTTGAAAGAGGAGATTGTCTGATTCTGAAAAATGACCATCTACCCAAGTAGAAGGTTCTGGATGGGGTAGATCTGATCTCTTTTGTGCACAGCTGTATTGTGAGAACCTGAAGCACAAAAGTGCACAGGCGAGACGTGTTAAACAAATACTGCAGGAGCCAATAATTGAGAACAGCCAAAGAAATATTTGGGATTTTCCTACTTTCATATGAACAATGATGGCAGAGGAGAAAGAGAAGAAGGAGGAGGAAGAGGACAACAGAAAAAGGAGGAGGAGGAAGAGGAAGAGGAGAAAGAGATCATTCCTCATCTGTTGTGACAACTGAGTTATTTTGTTCATATCTATTTTGTATTTTTGACTTCCTGCAGTAAAGATACCAGAAGATTGGGATGAAATAATCATGCGTTTCATGTGGTGACTCGTGTGTGTGTGTGTGTGTGCGTGTGTGTGTGTGTGTGTGTGTGTGCGTGTGTGTGTGTGTGTGTGTGTGTGCGTGTGTGTGTGTGTGTGTGTGTGTGCGTGTGTGTGTGTGTGTGTGTGTGTGCGTGTGTGTGTGTGTGTGTGTGTGTGCGTGTGTGTGTGTGTGTGTGTGTGTGCGTGTGTGTGTGTGTGTGTGTGTGTGCGTGTGTGTGTGTGTGTGTGTGTGTGCGTGTGTGTGTGTGTGTGTGTGTGCGCGTGTGTGTGTGTGTGTGTGTGTGTGTGTGACTGTTCTGATATCAGTCCAGCACATCATTCTGCTGTGTGTGTCCACGCAACTCTGCTGAAGTGCCTTTCCTACTTATCCTGATTCAGCAGTAAGTACTGAGAATTTTAAGAAGCAGGATTAGCTCATAAACAAAACAGCCCATCCCTGCCTAATAACACAGCTTAGTGATAATAAGAGAAAGGCAATCTATGAAGGCCACTCCCCTCCAGAAATCTCAGGATATCTATATTAGGAGTCTGAGATCTTGTAAACAAATTCAAATTACCTTCCAGCAAAAACCTCAAACTACTTGTTTGAGATGGTTTTTGGCTAGAAGATGTGAATCCAGATCAAAATCAAAAACCACATAAATACTGAAATAGCTGAAACAGAGACACAGTCATTACAGGAAGCTCATGAAGGTTCAAAGGAGGTTAAAAAAGAAAGAAAGGAAAGGAAAAGCTGCAGCCAGAGGAGCTGGTGGTATTGCCTGTCTGTACTGGAAATGTCAACATCCTCTGAAGAGGAAGAGGAAGGAGCTAGAGGTGCCAGACAAACAGCTGAACAATGACAAAACAGGAAACAGAACTGCTGATGAAACTGAACTGCAAACTGGGAGAGGGCAAAGCAGCAAAGCCACAGGGCTGCTGAACACGCCCACTGAGGACAAAGCGAAAGCAATGAGGAGCTCAGAATCAATGATGGGCCACAGACACATTGACTAGTGGCTAACAGGGTCTCCATTTTCCTGTTGAAATGACCCAGAAACAGGCTTAATTCTATTGTGATCATTCCACAAACGGTCCGTTGTACAAGTATTGCTTGGGATCCATCATTGCTTGAAAGGGCAGACATTCGAATGTGAGATAATTGTTGTTGATATACCCTGATATCTCAAACTGATGCTGCTTAATAGGAATAGCATTTAGTATATTTGTTCACAGCAAATATATCTAATCCTAAAGTTAAAAGTCCAAGAAGCCAAGACAGAGAGGTCATAAGACATAAACTTACCACCCTTCCTCCAGAGCCTGTTCCAGGCCTACCATTCTATCTTGCCTCTCGAGTCATAATGTGCTTAGATGAGTGGGTGACATTCTCCTGAACATACTTCCAGCTCATTTCCATGTATATCTGCTCCATTTACTAGAATCCCTGTCACTTCCTCTTTAGGAGGGCAGCAAAATGCTCAGAATTAAGGAGCAACCCAAGGACCTGAGAAGGTGTATAGGCTGATAAAGTTGGGGATGGAAGAACACTGGTCAAGTAGGTCAGTAGAACAAAGAGTCTGCTTCCCTCAGAGTAATAAACTGCTGGTTCCTAAGGTAAAGTCTCTTAGCATCTTAGCAAGTCAGTGACGAAACCCCTCAACTAGATGGGGGATGACCAATAAGTAATTATTTAATACTCTAGCAATATTTGGGGAAGTTTGCCTTATCAATAATGCAGACAAATATTGGTATTATTATTAATTAACAACTTGATGTAGTTAGGTGATTTAAAGTCACATTACATATTATGTGGTTCAAATTTCTCTAAATATTATTTTACCCAAAAGTTATACTATTAGCCAGGAAAGCTCATTTTAGATTGAGTATAAGCTTATATCACTTAAATACAGGTTCTTTGTTGTGTTTGATTTTTGTCTTTTTAATCTCGAATTAAACCCAGAGCCTCAACTGTGTAAGGCAAGTGGTGTGTTAGATCCACATCCAATGTAGTTGTTTTTAAAGAAACAAAAACTTGACTTCAGAGATGACTGTCCCTTATTTGTCTCTCAGCTTCGGGTTGTGGTTTGCAGAGTACATGACTTGAACCGCCAGGACCACTTTCAATGCCCCTTGGCTCTTTCATACCCCCACCGATCCATCTTGTGGCATTAGCTATTCAGGAACAGCTGCATAGCATGACTGAAGATGGAAAATTCTAAATGCATAGAAAGGCCCACAGATACTCATGGATAAGATCAACGGGAAGCACCAATGGAAACTCACTCAGCATATGATCACCTTTAAGAAACTCGAGGCCAAATTAGAAGGCACGGGGCCACAGTGTGAGGACAGTATTCTTTTTAAAGGAAAATTCGGGGATGCCTTAAAATTTTTAACTGCTGTTCAAAACAAAATGCTTTATAAGAAACACTTCTGGAGTAAGACCAATCAGGACCCGAGATGCTGAGTCCATGTGGACTGTGTGTCTAGATGTCTATAATTTTATTTGATTTTTATTAAAGGGGATTCAGATACATTCATGTGATAAGATACTACCTGAATATCATGGTACATTTTAGATAATAAAATGAATTATACATACTTGAATTGTTAAACAAACAAAAAAATCCCCCAACGTATAATTTTTTATTGAATTGTATACTGTTACATATTATTATAATGGTGATCTTTCTTCTTTTTGTTCAGTTCTGGGAACTGAACCGAGGGCATAGCACATACTTGGGAAATATTCTACCACTGAGCTCCACCCCAGTTCATGTGATGCTTTTAAAGCAGTATACATTCCTCCCGAGGGAAGGTCCACCATTCCAGGTGGTGCTGCAATATCAGGTAGATTTGTGGAGTGTGTGGAGCAAGCTCCTGTTCCATCTCCTATTTCCAAAACCCACTTAATATTGTTCTCAGATAGAGGATGGAGCAGATATTAACCTGATAAGAAAAACAACTATATTAGATATTAACCAAAAGGTCAGGAAACAATCCCATAGATTCTTAAAATCAAAGAAATGCAAAGTTTTCAGAAGGAAACAAACAAAAACATTATGTCTGAGGACATTCTGCCCAATAATTTACCTTTTCATTTTTCTTAGTGTTTCATATAGAAAGGACTCCTCGCTGCCCTCGTTCACCTCCACTCTCTTCTGTCTCTAACAGAACTCCAAATTTCTGCTGGGCACAGTGTCAAGACATGGGTCAATAATGGATGGGGTGTGATCTGGGCCACAGGTTGGATTGTCTCTCTCCAGGCTCTTTCTGAGACAACAAACAGACCCCAAAATTCAGACTTTCCCTGCTAGCATTAGAGATTGCCAGTTCACATTTTCCTTTAAGGTTCAACAAAACTCAGTCCATACTGTTGTATTAGAGCTTAAGCTCTCCACTCCAAGCCCTGTTGAGGGATTTCAGAGACCAAACACCTAAAACTTCTGATAATCAGTATAACATAGGAGTTTAGTTTGAAAGTCACAATCTTGAGAATGATTATTTAAGCTTCTATTTTTAGCTGTCCTGGAACTTACTATGTAGACCAGGCTGGCCTCGATCTCACAGAGATCCACTTGCCTCTGCCTCCCAAGTGCTGGGATTAAAGGTGTGTGCCCCTATGCCCAGCAGCTTTGGAACTCTTGATCTTGTTAAAAATGACCCAAGATTTATTAGGTTCTAGACATTCACTCTCTCTCTCTCTCTCTCTCTCTCTCTCTCTCTCCCTCTCTTTCTTTCTGTCTCCCTACTTTCCCCTCCCATATTTCATTTTAGTTAAAGTATCCATTTTTCCATCTATTCATATACTGCTTTGAGTTTATAAAGAGCACCCATATAATTATCTCATCAGTCTCATAATGAATCCATGAAGTAAGAAAAACAGACATAAGGATCTCCATTTCTTCTAAGCAGAAACTGGGTTTTCATCCATCACTTTGAGACTTTGAGGTAGATGGGACTATTATTATCACTAATATACATAAATGAGACTTGTGGAACGTCCACATCATCTGGTCCAATGCCTCGAATACAAGCTGACTTTCAATAAATACATGGCTGTCTGGATGCATGCCAGAGCGAGTGAGCAAATAAGGAAGATGGAAATTAAAGGAACTGTCAGAGTCACAATATTGGAATTAAAATTAAGGTTTGCTCACCTCTATTTTAATTCTTTTTCCATTACACCACGCCTAGAAATTCATTCTCCAATTTGCTGAGTTGTCCGTGTGGGTGTGTTGTTGGTGTGAAAGGCAGTTTTCAGAGGGTCAGCCAGAGTGAACTTCAGCTGATGCTCTAGCACAACGCTGCACACATCACAAAAGGGGTTGCTTTCGCTGGCAGCACTCCCAATCCTCACACAAGAGTGCTGCGCCAACAGCTATTGTCTATGACAAGTGACTGTGCTGGCAGCATAGGATCCCCTTAAACAAAGTCCTTCACACAGACAGCCAGCAGCGCTGTCTCTAGCTAAAGTGTTTGTTTCACCCAAGAAAAATCTTCGGGAGGCTTGTGCTGTGGTTACTGTTGCGGCTTAACAACAGTTTAAAGGTTTGAACTAGGAAACACAAGAACAACTATGAACGCTAACACTTAGAACATTTTTTCCCCTCTGAAACAGCTGAGAAATGAGAACACATTAGAAAGGCCTGAAATCACCACCTTGCACCGCTTTAGGGTATGCCTTAAAGTGAACCTACATTTTTTGTTGGCTGCTGAGATAAATGTTAGAAGTCATCTACTCTATAAAGCAGTCTAGGTCCTATAGTAGACAGTAAACTGGAGGATAAAGCTCTAAGCTTTAACTGGATGTGAGACTCCAGAGAAACTAATTATCCTCTCTGAACCTCGATTTTTATTAGCATATATTAACAGTACAAAATAATGGGTTTCATTATGACATGTTCACAACATATGTAAAGTAGTTTGACCATAGCAATTCCTTCTATTACCTACATACCCTCCCCACTTGCTGGTCTTCCTGATAGTCTCTCTTTCTGTCTCTGTTTCTCTGCCTCTATATCTCTCTCTCTCTCTCTCTCTTTCTTGCTCTCTTACTCCTTTCTTCTCTGATATGAGAGAAAACATTCAATACTTGGCTTTCTAATTCTGGCTTTTTTCAGTTAACATAATCATCTTCAATTCTATCCATTTTCCAGAAAACAACATAATTTTATTTTTCTTTTTTAAAAAATGATTTACGGCCAGCAGCTTTCCTGGGTAAGTTTGGTGGCGTTCACTGCACCTTGACTCCTCCAGCCTCATTCACCCTCCTACCCCTCCCACCCCATCTGTCCTCCTACCAGAGCACTGGCACATTTATTGTCTTGGCACCCCAGAACTCTGAACTGACCTCTTGGTGCAGACTCCCCACTGCTTCTTGATCCTTTGCATCCAGACCAACCCAGCTTCTCCCAGTAGTCCCCGGGAGCTCTCAGGGCCTCTTCCCTGCCCCACCTCCCTTTGCATCTCTGGGTGGCTCCGCCTGCCAGCTTTGTGGGGCCAGCATCTTTCCTGGAGGGAGCTAGTCCTTAGGAGAAAGCCTGAGAGCATCTGATCCTCGTCCGACTTGGGCCTCTGTGGGAACTCCTGAGAAGAAAGACAAAATCCAGGGATTGTGTAGCAAATACAGAATGAAAACACAGGGTCTGAAACTGTGGTGAACATATACTGGGTCCTGTTCGTTATTACATTATCACCCTCAATCCTCATAGCAAGTTTAGGTAGGAGGTGTTCTTGTTTCTCCCTATGTTGCAGATGAGGGAATTTGGAGCTTAGACAAGCATATCGTTTGTGCCGGTCAGCAGTACAGAAATTGAGGCTGTGGAGTTGAGGATTGCTCCTGCTCAGGGTATTAGAGAAGGCCTTGGAGTGGGGAGTTTGTTCAGACTACAGACTACTGCCTCTTTTTAAAGGTTCCTTTCTTTTAAAATTGCTGATACAGTATCTAGTGAATCACAAATAACACTTCTTATATTTTATTCTAAAAGGCCAAAGGTATCATATGTTCATATGTTAATTTTGTGCTAGGAGTGTCTCAGCCTCTCTCTCTCTCTCTCTCTCTCTCTCTCTCTCTTTCTTGCTCTCTTACTCCTTTCTTCTCTGATATGAGAGAAAACATTCAATACTTGGCTTTCTAATTCTGGCTTTTTTCAGTTAACATAATCATCTTCAATTCTATCCATTTTCCAGAAAACAACATAATTTTATTTTTCTTTTTTAAAAAATGATTTACGGCCAGCAGCTTTCCTGGGTAAGTTTGGTGGCGTTCACTGCACCTTGACTCCTCCAGCCTCATTCACCCTCCTACCCCTCCCACCCCATCTGTCCTCCTACCAGAGCACTGGCACATTTATTGTCTTGGCACCCCAGAACTCTGAACTGACCTCTTGGTGCAGACTCCCCACTGCTTCTTGATCCTTTGCATCCAGACCAACCCAGCTTCTCCCAGTAGTCCCCGGGAGCTCTCAGGGCCTCTTCCCTGCCCCACCTCCCTTTGCATCTCTGGGTGGCTCCGCCTGCCAGCTTTGTGGGGCCAGCATCTTTCCTGGAGGGAGCTAGTCCTTAGGAGAAAGCCTGAGAGCATCTGATCCTCGTCCGACTTGGGCCTCTGTGGGAACTCCTGAGAAGAAAGACAAAATCAATTTGCCCCCCCCCACAATATAAAATCAAAAGACAGAATCTGAAGCCTAGACCAACGAACTTTTCATGCCCAAAAAGTAAACCACAAAGGCACACAAAGTTTACAAAAAGAAGCAGACCTAACTCAATGAAGGAAGGCTTGAATCTCACACAAGCATCAGAAACTACAAAAGAAATCCACATGTCAAAGTCACAGCAAAAAAATAATAACATGAAAAACCCAAATAATATATCTCTACCAAGTACCAACAGTCCTGTAGAGGAGTACAACAAGAACATCTTAGCGATAACACAGGACATGGAATTCAAAAGAACAAATACAAACATAACAGAATTCAGTGAATTTAAAGAACATACAAAGAAATCAAAGAACTGAAAGAAGATAGGGATAAACTTCTGAATGAATTCAGAAAAGAGTTAGAAATACTGAAGAATAATCAGGCTGAAATGAAGAAGGAAGTGAAACACTCAATGAGCCAATTAGAAACGACAGGAGAAAGCCTCAACAATAGAATGAATGAAATGGAAAACAGAATATCAAGACTGGACGACAAAGCGGACGAATTAGACCACTCAAGCAAAGATTATGAAAAATTTAAGAAAACACAAGAATGAAATATGCAGGAATTGTGTGACACCATAAAAAGACCAAACTTATGAATCATAGGCATACAGGAAAGAGAAGAATCTCGGGATAATAGTATGGACCAGATCTTCGACAGGACTGTAGAAGAAAATTTCCCAAAATTAAAGAAAGACATGCCCATACAAATACAAGAAGCATATAGAACATCAAACGGACAGGACCAGAAAAAAAACTCTCCAAGGTACAACATAGTAAAAACACTAAATGTTCAGAACAAAAGGAGAATACTGAAAGCTGCAAAAGATTTCTGAAGGAAAATCCACCAGAATTACAGGTGACATTTCAATGCAAGCTATGAAAGCCAGAAGAGCCTGGACCAAAGTATTCCCAGTTCTAAATGACCACAGATGCCAACCCAGATTACTTTACCCAACCAAAATATCTATTACAGTCAAAGGGGAAAGAAAAATCTTCCATGACATAAATAGGCTGAAAGAATTCATGTCCACAAAATCAGCCCTTTAGAGAGTTCTTGAAGCAATACAAAGAGCTGAAGAAAGCACCGACTATACCCAAGGGGTTACAGAAAGAAACTTAATGAAGGTGTAACTGTGAAAATCCACAGCTACACCAAGAATGTGAACAGAAGTAAAAATGACTTGAATCAGTACACATCTTTCATTAATAACTTTAAATATCAATGGACTGAACTCCCCAGTCAAAAGACACAGACTAGTTGAATAGATTAAGAAACAAAACCCATTTTTTTGTTG